TTTTTAGATAATTGAGGACCTGGAGGAAATTGAGGTATAAATGGGCCTCTTGGGCTGATTTCAATAATGAGGAATACCTATGGAGACTAACCTACGTTATATAAAAGAAAATGAGGTATAAATGGGCCTCTTGGGCTGATTTCAACTTGGGGGCATCAGGGTTCTTAAGAGACTTATGATTCTCAAACTAGTGTATAAATTTTCATTCTAGGTACTTGAACCTTGTGGGTGTCGATGGTAACTGTTTTGATGTTTAAGTATATAATATAGCGTTATTTTCAGGGGTGGAGTAAAAAATTTGGTTTAGTGAGGGCATAATACATATGTTTATATGAAGAAAAAACAATGTACTTTTAAAATCCTTAGTTTTAGCCCCTGTTTGGACCACATTAAATTAAAATTTATTTCTCTCTCTCTTCTTATAAATCACACATTCTCCAATAAAATAATATTGCACGTAAATTTAAAATTTTTTCCTTCATTTTTAACCACACATTCTTCAAAAAATTACAATTCATTTCATTATAATTTAAAATAATGGAGGCAAACAAAGGCTTAGTATTTAACTCATTCCCTACTTCTATTTTGGTTGATTACAAATAAGGCCTCATTGATCTTTATAATTCACTTCCTTTAAATAAATGATGGAGATTGATTCTGTTTTATGGTTCAAATTTTTCTATATTATTTTTTGTAGATATATTTACTTGAACTTTTACTCAACTATTACAATTCTCTTATATCTTCTTAAATGGGACATTTAGTTACAAAATCCTTTTAATATATCTTCTTTATTCTAGAATTTCAACTATTTTTCCTTTATATTTCGAAAGTCTCTCATAAATCTCTATAAAGATTTATTTATACAATGGTTACAACATTAAAACCACAACTAAACATGATTGTAATAGAAAATGAGGTCACAATAATCGAATAACCGAAGAACAAGTACGTCATGATCAAATAAAGTGTCATGTCACAAAATAATTGAAGAACAAATCAGTCACAACCGAAAAATGAGGTCACCATACAAAGTTAGGTCACAATCATGTAATAATCAAATAACAATTCGAAGAAAAATTGATTAATATAATGAAAATCAGAATCAACCAAAAATATTTGAATGCGACTTACCTATTAACTCAAGTTCCCATAAACATTGTATAAAAAAAGTAAAAAAAATCAATGAACTGATTTACCTTCTTAGATATATATATATTCAGTTCTTTTCTTTTATCAGCCTTATGCTCATTCGAATGAGAAAAATAGATTCAGCACTATCACCCTCAACGAATGCTTCAAATATCTACTCTATCTTAGCGAGTGTAATAGAATCGTTTGAACAAGATTATCGAGCTTATCTCTCTAGGAATATGGTAGAAGAAGGAGATTTGAAAATTCTGAATAATTTCTTATCAATAAGTAATGCTTAATTAGTTATTCATTAATAATTTTATATTTAATGTTTTAAGTAAAAAAATTTATATAACCTGATTTTTGAAATAATAAACTTAAAACTTGATTATTGAAATATAAAGTTAAAAATCAGGGATATATGTTATTTCCTAAACCAAAAATCTTATTTTTAAATGATAAATTTGGAAAAATATTTGTAAGTGGATATTACAGCCACAAAGTTTTTAACTTCTCATTTCAAAAGTCAGGTTTACAACTTATTTATTCAAAAATTAGATAATAATTAACCTTTATAATATTAACAATAATATTATTAGAAGTTTTATTAATTTACTACCCACCCCACTACTCGATAAAATTCAAACATAATTCATTTTCCATCTACCCCTCATTTCTCTCTCTAAAAGCACGACTATCTTCACATATTCAATATTAGGCATAAACAACTTTCATAGATTACACTTGACCTCTGATGACTCTTCACAGATTACGCAGGCGACGGTGCACAGCGATATGTGTAATGATGCAGCAAGAGATACACGACGTTGTTGTGGCTTCATTGCAAAACAAAGCTATTCGATGGCATCGCAATAGCATCGTCATGCACAGAAGCGCACGTCACCATTGCGACACCTTAATTATGGGTTTATTCTCCTTCATCTAGTTTACTATTGTGTTGGTGATTATTGGTGTGATGTGAGTAGAGGTGGTGGTTGTTGGTACGCACAGTGATGGTGCGGTTGCGTTGGTCATGATGGTTGTTGGTGAAGGTGGTGTTGGTGGGCAATCTATGGTGTATGTGTGATTTTTATGTGTATGGAAACCGATTATGCGTGGTGGTGGCTCATTGGAGTAGTGGTGGTGTTGGCGAAGATGGTGAGGTGAGGATGGTGTAGGTGGTGGTGGTGGTGTTCATCGCTGGTGCGCAGCTCTGATTTAGGATATGGATTTGATCTTTTTTGGTGGTGGTTGTGATGATGATTGTGGTGATGAGGTAGTGGTGATGTTGGCAATACTGGTATTGTGATGGTGATGGTGGTCAACGGTGGTTTGTGGGTGGGATGGTGTGGTGTGAGGATGTTTGTGACCAATCATTTGGTTGATTGTAACCAATAAATTGATTAATTTGTGACTAATAAATAATATGTGACCAATTATTTGAAATTGTGATAAAAAAAAATTGGATATTTTCTGATCAATAAATAATACGTGACCCAAAAATCTGAATCGTGATTTATAAAAAATTTGTTTTGTGATCGATAAATAAATTGTGACCTATAAAAAATTTTATTTGTGATCGAAAATAATTTGTTTTCATAACTAAAATTTAATACTATCTGATATTAAACCTTAGTTACTTAATTTTGAAATTGGTCATAATTAAATTTTTTTGGAAATTACACAGTAGCAGGTGTTCAAAGATCACTTTTAAAATCGGGTGCAAAGTTTAATTAATCAAAAATCAGGTGATATTTATATAATTAATCAACTTCCAATTAAATCCCCACCCAAATCCCCATAACATTTTCCGTCCCGTCTCTACCTTCTTTCTCTTTGCCACTGACGACACTTTCAAACACTACAACCAATGACAAAGGAGGCGATGCAGCTTTCGGTGCTAACAGGGAAAGGCGACGCTGTAAATGGTTTAGGCCCCGTCTCTTCCTTCTCTCTCTTCGACGCTCAATGACCCATTCCTCTATTGTTCACCATTGATGGTGGTGGTGCACAAGCGAATGGTGATTCATTGACCCGACAACATCATCACTCACAGCGGACTATCACCGACGCTGTGAGCAACGTGTAACAACCGTGATCTCTATCCACTGTCGTTTAACTCGACGCCAATCTCCACCCAGCAATGTTGCTCGACGCAGTTCCACTATTAGTGTGGTCGATGGTGTCACGGTGACTCAATCTGGCCAGTGGAAGATAGACAATAAGCGATAGATTTGGGACCCTTTTTTTGGTGGTTTGAAAATGGTGGTGGTGGTGATGCCTGCTATGGATTAGGGTTGCTGTGGTGCATTTGTTTGGAAATGGTACTGTTGTGGTAACGACGACGATAACAAGGTAAAGGTGGTCGTGATGGCAATGGGGGTGCGATAGTGTTGGTGATTGTCGTCTGTGACCACTATTTGGCATATGTGACCAACCATTTAATTATCTGTGACCAAGGGAGTGTATTAAATTGAGACTTTTAATGATTTTTTTAGGATTTAAAAAGTTTAGAGGTATCCAATTGAGACTTTTGAAACTCTCTAAAAATCACGGTGTATTCAATTAAGACTTTTAAAAAGTTTTTAAGAGTTACGGTGTATTAAATTAAAAATTTTTAGAAGTCTCAATAAATTTTGGGGTATTTTAGTGACTTTTAGAGACTTTAATAATAGTCTCTGAAGTACTAACTTTTAAGAAGAAAGCACTCATATAAAATCTTAAAATTTGTCTCTTATTAATCATGAGATTTTGGGAGACTTTCACAATTTTTTTAATCTTTTTTCTTTTAAATTTCTATGGACATGTATGATTAAAATTTATTTTTTTCAATTGATTATATTTATTTCTATTTATCTTTCTTTCTCTCTCTCTTATTACTTATTGCTATTTTCTATGGAAAATTTAAACTTGATTCTTGTAGTTTTTTTTTCTTTTTTCGTTCATTTTTTTGTGAAAAATATCTATTTTTTATTAAATTATTAAATTTTATATCAAAAATTTATAATTAAATTTAAATATATTGATTTTTATTTATTTTTAAAAGTATACTATAGTAATAATATTGAATCATATATATTTATAATTTTTATTATTATTTATTCAATTAAGATATTAAATTTTTATTTTTTCAGATTTTTTTTATTATATGGGAAGAAGGGGAATTGTGGAAATTAACACTTTGTATATGAGAATTTAATACCGTTGTACTATATCCAAATGAATTCTATTTTAAATGAAAGTCTTTTGAATTCTACAAAAGTCTATAAAAATTTTAAAATGAAAGTTCATAGAAGTCTAAGAAAGACTTCACTAATTCCGTACAAATCTATAAAATATCCACGAAATTCACAAAAATCATCACTTAAAAAAAGTTCATCAAAGTTTTCAAAAGTCTCAATTGAATATACCTTATAACCTAAAAATTTGATAATCCGTGATCAATTAATTTAATCTCGAAATAATCTGTGACCTGTAAATTTTTTATTTGTGACCTCGAAATAATCTGTAACTAATTAATTTGATGATATGTGACATATAATTTTGTACCCATTAATTCTGTATCTGTGACGTTATTATATTTAATTAATAAATATTTTTAATTAATTAAATATATACCTGATTTTTGAATTGGTGTATATATACACATCTAAAATATGAATTTTTCCCTAATTTTCCCTATTTGTAAAGCTTGAAAGCACAATTTAAAGGGTGTTTGACACCTATTTTTATGAAAAAAATGAATTTTAGAATAGTAGATTAATAGAGAATGTGTAGATAAAAAATAAGAAAAAAATTGATTTTTATATAATATTATTTTAATGAAAAATGTGTTATATTGAAAAGAAATAAGAGAAAAATGCAATTTTAGAAAAATGAGAATCAAGACGTAAAAGATAACCAATGTCTGTTTAGCAAAGGGGACGAGCAGCCTAGGTTTTCTCTCTTGGTATTGCACTAAAAATTGGGCTTATATTCATCATCCCCAGCATCAATTTATCTTACGTTGCAGTGATTTCTTCTCAAATTCTTCATCATCAAACTTGAGAAGGTAATGTCGGATTGTATTAGTGTTAAAACGGGCTGTATATGTTGAAATCGACTCGAGTTTTTGTTGTGAATGATTTAATTTGAACTCGACTCCTTATTATTTATTTTATTTTTCCAGAATTGTTGTTTCTTGATGGTAATCTTTCTCTAGCAAAAGTGATTTTTTTCAACAATATTTCTCTTGAAGATGCGGTTGTTTATGGTTTTCCATTGGTGAAATACCCAGGACCAAAATCCTGCCCCCACTAAACCCCAGTTGGCTCCGCCTCTGGTTATCTCCCTATTCGAAGGCATGGTGAAAATGGTGAAAATATAGCTTTTGTTTATTTAACTTCTGATATATGATTGGTGTCATTAGATGTTAATTGCAACATTGCTTAAACACTGTAGTTCTATCATTGTAGCTTCTAAAACTTTGTATCAATGATTTACGTGTAGAATTTGGGAAAAATGGATCTAGAAAAGTAGTTGGGAGAATTTATTGTATTGAAGAATTAAGGCATTGATGTATTGAAGGAGTCATTTTGATCCATTGGTAGAAGATTTAGAAGTATACAAAATTTGTTGGTTCTCAAGTACAATTAATCTATATTAGAGCATGTGTATCTTTTTTTAATCTTTAAAAAGAAGCCAAAAGGGGGCTACCATTTTGCATTTTTGGGAAGTATGCAAAGCAAGTTTTGGCTTCTTTTGTTGCGCTTAAACAAAGAAAAACATGCTCTAAATCCATCTTCTATGTTTACAACCTACGTGAATTTGTAGAAGCTATAGTAAAAAAGGGGAAATTAAAATTCAAGTAACATCTCCAATACCTTGAAAAAGATCCAAACCCGCTTGAGATTGATCCCTTTTTCGGAAATTGACAGACGGTTTTCTTTACATTCTTCTCCTTTTGTAATATTTTTGCTAAGGGGGGAATACTTGGTTAATTTGACCAACCTCTCCCCAGCCACAGGTTTGCCTTTCGGCCTACTTGGGCCTGAAGCAGGTAGCAATCTTGAGGGAATCAGGGCTTTTAAGACCGACTGTTTGATTCTCGAACTAGTGTCTAATTTTTCATTCTAGTTACTGGAACCTTGTGGTGTTGGGCATTGTTTTGAGGTTTTAAGTCTACAATACCTTGATTGATGTCATTAGATGTTAATTGCAACATTGCTTAAACACTACAGTTCTATCATTGTAGCTTCTAAAACTTTGTATCATTGATTTACATGTAGAATTTGGGGAAAATGTATCTAGAAAAGTCATTGGGAGAATTTATTGTATTGAAGAATTAAGACATTGATGTATTGAGGGAGTCATTTTGATCCATCAGAAGCATACAGAATTTGTTGGTTCGCCTTTGTTTGATCTTTAAAAAGAAGCCAAAAGGGGCTACCATTTTGCTCTTTTGGGAAGTATGCGAAGCAAATTTTTGGCTTCTTTTGTGGCGCTTAAACAAAGACAAACATGCTCTTAATCCATCTTCTAGTTTTACAACCTACGTGAATTTATAGAAGCTAGAGTAAAAAGGGGAAAGTAAAACTCAAGTAACATCTTCAATACCTCGAAAAGGATCCAAACCTGCCTGAGACTAACCCCTTTTTCAGAAATTGACAAACGGGTTCTTTGCATTCTTCTCCTTTTGTAATATTTTTGCTAAGGGGGGAATACTTGGTTAATTTGACCAAACTCTCCCCAGCCACAGGGTTGCCTTTTGGCCAACTTGGGCCTGAAGCAAGTAACAATCTTGAGGGAATCAGGGCTCTTAAGACCGACTCTATGCTTCTCGAACTAGTGTCTAATTTTTTATTCTAGTTACTGGAACCTTGTGGTGTTGGGCATTGTTTTGAGGTTTAAGTCTACAATATAGCAAATGTTATTTCCCTATATGAAGGTAATGGATAACATATGGATTTTGTTTATTTAACTTCGGATATGAATATCATTGGTATCATGAGATGTTTGAAACTTGCAATGCTACAGATGATGTGAATAGATTATGATTTCAGTTGCAGTATATATGTAATCGAAATAATTGCAGTATTTGTTTTAGACATAGAGTAACTTCAATAGGAACGTGTTAATATATTTGGCTTAAGCATTAGTTACTGTTTTATATGATGTAGTATTATAGAATGCATGTAAGAAAACTTTTTTTTTCCTGAGAAATTGTGCTAGTAGTGTCCTATCAAAAAAAAAATTGTGCTAGTAGTGCCAGTTACATTTTTGTTAATTATGATTACAACCTTGCTTAAACTCTGTAGCTCTACCATTGTAGCTTCTAACATCATGTCGCTGATTACTTGTAGAATTCAGGGAAAGATGTACCTTAAATCACAGTTGTCGTGGAACGTAGTAATTCCTGCTGAGAACCTTGATGCTAAAGGGTTGATGCTTAAGAAGGCAATTATAATTCACCTTATGGATGATTTTGCTGCTAAGAAGGCCATGAAAGATTTGGGTTATTTCCTTGCTGTAACTACTGTGGAGCGCATCGGGGAAGGAAAAGTTAGACAGCACACGGGAGATGTACTCTTTCCCGTAGACTTCAGCTGCATTACCTTCAAGATCTTACCTGGAGAAATTCTGGAAGGCGTTGTGCACAAAATCTTGAAGCATGGAGTCTTCTTGAGATGCGGACCAACAGAGAAAATATATCTATCGCATCAAAAAATGTCTGACTATCAGTACGTGCCTGGGGAAAATCCCTTTTTCAGGAATGACAAATCATCAAAAATTGAGAAAGGTGTGGTCGTGCGCTTTGTGGTGATTGGGGAGAAGTACGTTGAGGCTGAGAAGGATTTCCAGGCGGTCGTGAGCCTTGAGGGCGATTACCTTGGACCTATTTCTTAGGAAATCTCTGTTTATCCCCTTTTCTCTCATTAGGCAATTTCTGTTATGTATGTTCTGTACTAGACTCTAGAGTTTTGATTATGCTTATGTAGCAAGTTCGTACTGTTTATCCTCGTGATTAGAACATTTGGCTTTATGTTATGTTACTGTTTCCAGTGTCCTTTGTGAACTTAACCTTTGTTAGTACATGCGAGCACTTGATGTTTGCTAATGTTGTTTTTACCCGAAATTTATCTGTATATTCTAGGCAGGGGTTGTTTTTTGGCTTGCGTATTTTCTTTGCCTCTGGGCTTCAAGTAACAATCACTCCAATTTGTGGGTTCTTATTTCTACTTTCAGATAAACACTAATGATCAATAGAAAGGGACTTGAATATTTAGGTGGAAGTTGAAGATAGCCTCTTGAGGGGGCTGAGCTATCACTGAATATTTTGTTGCAAGCCTAATTGTTTGTTTTAAGTTCCTTGGAGAACTTACCATGGAAGTGAAGGCTTTCATAAACAATTCTATATGTTCTCTTAATATAAACACGATTGGGATCTTATTATGGAGGTCAAGGCTTTCATAGATGATTCTATATATTCTCTTGATATAAACACTATTGTGACAAATAAAATTTTATTAGAGACACAAATATTTTTAATAGTTAAACTAAATTAAGATATATATACTACTCACTCTAATCATCTTTTCCCTCCATCTAAATGTCAATAGGATCACTTCCTTTCGTCTATCTTTATTGAGTATGTTTCCGTCGATAATTCCTTGCACGCATCTCTTTTTATGTCTTTCCTCCTTTTTCTATCATTTTTGACATCAGTTATTCTTCATGAAATTCACTCCATTGTCTCCATCTTTACTTACTCCAGTTTTCCCCATCGCAGCTCCTTGCCCTCATATTTCTTTCATCTGTCTCTCCGTTTTGGGTCTCAATGAAAGTTTGTTTTTGTTTTTGTTTCCCTGCAAAATCTGCTCCATTCTCATAACATGCATGCACAGAGCTTTCTTTATCTCCATCTACTCCGCTCAAATCCTCATTTCTCGTTACCCTCTCAATATCATCACCTGTCACCATCCTCTGGTTTATCTATTTAAGTGCTTGTTGGAAGTGCGTATAAGCTAAACTGTCTTTCATACTATGCGGATAATTAGTGGAATGGTAAATTCCAAGGTCCGTACGCTGTCTAAAAAAATATCTTGGACCAATTTATTTATAATTTAACATTTGCCAAACATGCTCTAAATCCCCAATTATTATTGTTTTTAAAAGTTGACTGAAATTAGAGCAATACGTTGTTTCAATTTTTAATCGAATCATCTCTCTCAAAAAATCCGAGGAATTGTCGACCGACCAATGTCTTTACCGCCGCCGCCCGCCACTGCCCGTCCTTGGCGACTCTTCCTCGACCCTGCAAGTCTTAGCCTCCCTATTTCCCTCTCTGAAGCCGGCTTTCGCCTCACCCAAAATTTCCGCTACTTCTATCCTAACTACGCTCTCCTCTCTCTCCTCGTATTCCTCCTCACGCTTCTTCCTCATCCCCTCGCTTTGGTCCTTTTCCTCTGCATTTTTATCGCATACGTATACTTATTCTTTTCGCGCAGTGAGCCCTTGACTGTCTTCGATCAAACCGTTGACCAGAAAATCATACTGGGTTTTCTTCTCGTACTCACTCTGGTTGCTGTTTTATGGACGAAAGTTTGGTGGAATATTTTTATTTCTTTGATTGTAGGGGCGGTGATTGTGCTTCTCCACGGTGTTTTGAGGGCGCCCGAGGAGGTTGAGGAGGATTCGCCTAATGGATCTTTGCTAAATGTTGTGGATGATCCTAGGGGAGACTATTCTAGTGTTTGAAATTGGGGCTTTTTTAGGGTTTTCGATTTACTTGGGGAATTATGAATTGGATAGCTGTTAGATTGCTGTTTCGAATTTCATTTTTGTATATTCATGATTGCAATTTATCTAAGTCCATTGTTCAATCAATGAAAATTACACTACTGTTCCCATACTTTGTTTACATCCTTTTTCTCGTTTTCATTGCATTGTGATGATTCGATGCTAGTGTTTGAAGTTAGGGATTTGGTCAGTTATCAATTTATTTCGAAAATTATGAATTGGGTAGCTCTTTGATAGAGTTTTTGAATAGTATTTTTATTTTCATGTTTGCAATTTTTCTAATCACAATGTTCAACTTCAATTAATGAACATTACATTGCTCTGTTCTTTCTGTATTTTTATCTTTTTCTTGGTTTCATTGCATTGATTTGATGTCAAGTTCTGAATATAATTACCTTATATAGACGATAATTTTCGAATTAGTCTCTTCACAAAGAATTATAGAACACTCACCCTGAGCCCCATGTGAGTGAAAAATTGCAAAAAACATCCATTCCACCTATTTTCCTTGTGTGTGTTCCCTGTACACCAAGAATAATTGACAACTTTTACGCTGACTTGCACATTTTTGTTTATGTGGATTTAATTATCTTGGTGTACAATATCTAGTTTCAATTCCATCTAGAAAATGTGCAATTATGCATGAAATTGATATGCTTACAGTGATAGTTGGATTAAGTGGTGAAAAGATTAATCAACCAAAAAGAGATATCGGTATTTGATTTTAGAAAGAGGTGTTCGTTATACATTGGAGCACATTGGATAGATGGGTCGGTGGTTTCCCTATCATATGAATGCTTTTGTTTTGTTTTGTTTACGAGGCCTATGGTTGTACAATTGTGTCGTATTCTGGCTGAGTGTTAAAATCAAATCAGTCTAAACACAGAAAGTGATTACCAATTTCGTAAATTTATTTACAGTAATAAATACTGTTCAAATTCTGTCTACAGTTCCATTAACGAGTCTTTCAATCTTCTCAATGTGATTATTTTGTGTAGCAAGAGGCTGCTCTATTGACATGGAATGGCGGGTTCATTCTTAGCTTCATTAGGGATTTTGCATATCCTTCTTGTTTCTCTATTCATGATTACCCATGTATTGCACATAGGAATTGAAAAGAACCGTAATCAAGTTTCATTTAGCGAACGACTATGACGAACTTCTGTTGTTGACCCAACCTTTAGGAGTAGTTGGCACTTTACTTTTTAAAGTTGTATGGCCAGTCCAGATAAAAAGCTGTTATATCTTGATTAAGTTATGAGATGTAGCTCAAAAATTTAAATGTACGTGTATTTTCACAAGGACGACATTAAGATTTAACGAAGATTTGGATACTTTCGATCATTAAGAATAGAGAAGTTAAAGAATACACTTCCTGCTCGAGCAATAAGTTGAGGACCAATGTTTACAATTTTTCAATCTTTAGTGGCCTAAACCATTAGACGAAGTGATTAAAAATTTGTGAAGTGAAGAATGGAGATGGACCTTGTTGCTCTTGTTATCGTCTTCTTCGTGTTGTACTCTCAATCTCCCGCTTCCGACACATTCCCCATCTATTTCCTTGCTACATCGACCCCAATTATCTATTTTCGCACAGTTATGCTCTGTGTACAATCAGGGTTGACAACTCCAATTGACAATTACACACATGACAAGGGAACCCAGGCTTAATAAAAAAATCGTGGGTCCCCCCTCCTATGAGTACATTATCAATCGGGGTTGTCAACCCCGATTGTACAAGTAGAATAATTCATCTCCGCAACATCTGCCCTATCACAAGGTTCGAGGTGTCATTTTATCTGTAATGTTAATTGTTGTGAAGTTTCACATTTGGCATAATATGTTTTTGTTTTAGATGTGATAATTGCAAATTGTTCACTTATTTAAGTCGTATTATTAAACTTTTAAGTCGTCAATTTATTAATTTTTATCTAGCTTAGGTTAACTTTCATTTTGCTTTTAGTGATGGACTAGTTTGCAGCATTTGGAAAATGATGTAGGACTAATTGGCCATTCGATGAGAAGTTTTGAAATCAAATTTCATAATTTGAAAGTTGAGGAATTTAAAGAGAATTGGAGTTCTTTTTTGTGTGTGTGTGTGTGTGTATTACACGGGAAAAAAAAACCTAGGGAGAAATTGACTGCCGGCTGGGAATAAAATTGGAAGAGAGGCCAATAAAAAAGGCAGCCAACGAAGGGGAAATAGATACGCAACTGCCGGCTGGGGGAAAAAGGAGAGAAGAACTTGGGCAAAAATTTGTCTTCTTGGGGAAATTAATAAGGCAGCAACTTGGATTTTCTGAAAGAAAAAAAGAGGCAGCTGGAGGTTGAAAATTGAGAGACACACATATATACATATTGGCGGTGGGAGAGAGAAAGGGAATAAAAATTTGTTGCTGGAGGAATTACACATATATACATTGGGAAGAATATTGGCAGCTTCTGTGTTTATTTTGGAGGAGACAAAAGGCTAGCTGCTTGGAGATTGATTTACGCGCCAATTAGGGGACAAAGGTGACGGCTGAATTGGGCATAAATTTGAGAAATAAACATGCAAATTGAAAGGAATTTTGAAGAAACAGCACGACCACGACAGATTCACTTTGGGAATATTAATAATGCTCCATCAATTGGTGATCTCCTTCCACTTCTATGTGTTTAATTCCAATGTGATGTTAGGCTAAATCTTGTCATGTATTTGATGGATGACAAAGTTGTTTAATTCTTAGTTTTAATTCAAAACTTGTGTTTTTGTCTTTAACTCGTGTTGTGATTCCAGGAATATGCTGATTTATATTGTTTTAATGTTTGCTTATCATTAGGACAATAAGTTGCTTATTCGTTGTGTTGAAAAACTCACGATAGGTAGAACACTATTATTGAGACACACAGACAAAAAATGTTAGGAATAACAATTATGACGTATGCGATCATTTGTAATAATCCTAAATGTAAATGCATGTTTGTCATATGAATTCGAACTAGAAATAGGATCGTCTTTAGGTTTATTATAATTTAGGAAAGAATAATAAATAATAATGGAATTATCCATCGTTGTAATTGCATGAATTAAGATAATTATTAGTGGTTGAGAATTATAACTAAAAATTGATCAATGGCGTCGGAAACCCAATATGTTCACACACTTAATTGTTTTTAAAAACCAATTTTCATTGATTTCTTAAGTTTTAGCTATAAAAAAATTAGTTATTCATCAATCGTCTTTCGGTTACAAACACGAATTTAAATATATTAAATGTACTAGAATTAATCCTATTCCTTGTGGGACAACAACTCTCTCATCACGATTATTACTTATACAACGAACCCGTACGCTTGCGAGATTTTGACGAACAAGATGCATACCAAGAGCTGTAATTTTCGGCTTGAGTTTGTATGCACATGAAAACTCAAATGAGTTTCCTAAGGCTCATCTCACCAGCTGCACCAAAGCCATTGCCAGCTACCCCAGAACGCATACGAGGCGATGAAATCAGCTACAAGTACGCCAAAAGAGAAGCCTTCAAGAAGTGGCCGAAAGGGCACGGAAAATTTCAGTGTCCCCAATGTTTAGGTGGTCTACACAGATCTTTCGAGGATTGAAGAAATGTTGTTAATCAAACAATGAATCATTTTTGCTGATTTAAGTGTAGATTATGTACGTGTCACATATATAATCTTCAAATGAGATGATTCAATACAGTATCACAAAAATATTTAGTTAATTCACATTGCCATTTGTGAAAGTTTCGTAGGTGTACACTTTTTTTTTTATCGGTATTTTTGTAGGTGTACACCTACTTTTACATGAGGTGTGTAATGTCATTATTGTATCCGTGTTCTATTTAGTGGTTCATCTGGTTAATAATGCCGGAATGATGTCATTCTCTATGCTGGAAGAAGATGAAGGCATCACTGATTCAGAGAAGAGTCATGGCAAGATCAAAGGTCATGGAAGGCAACCTTTGCAATACTTTCGACAAATTTGAAGGAAATGCCATGACATTAGAGGGCCATTCGCTCTCACTGACTTCTGTTGCCATAGTCGACCCATGATCGAGCTTGAAGCTTCATACAACGAAAACTTACAGCAAAGAGTACAAAAGTAGCTATTGATAGGTTATGCTGCTCTTCCTTCTTTGCAAACCTAACTGGACACCAACTTCTGAGGCTACAGCATATGGGTTTTTACAATGTAAGTGTCTAATAGACCTCGTATTATTTCCTGTGCAAGGGAGAGATATGACCGATCCTGCATGGTTCAGAACCACATTCTTATGGAAGATCTTCTGCCCAGAGATGATAAGAGTGAAAATACTGACTGTTATACATCACCCGTCCTGGGGAATCACCAAAGGACACCCTTGGCAATAAGCTAGTAGATTTCAGCAGAGCCAAGAGGTTCCTATATTCAAGTACCTGACCCGAAGAGAGATCAATATCGAACGTGTTAATAGTGAATTTGTGTGGTATGTAGCATGATTGTGTGATGATGAATTTGTTCTTTTCCTTTTTCTGACTATAATACAGCACTTTGGAGGAGCCTAAATGGGATTGTGTAGTTAAGAATCTTTCATGAAAGCAATACTGAACAATAATGAAGGTAAAGTGTGAGCAACTTTTGGATAACATAATCACGAGTGTTAGGTTTTATATACGAAGTGGTAATCCCTAAGAACAATGCATATACAAATAACTGGTAAAAGACTTTGCTTTCTCTTTAATTTCAATTTTGATCATCGACTATTAACATTTAAGCCTACCACAGATGAAATTAAGTTGAATATATATCCTCATTGGCCACGTTTCTGAGATTACATCATCAAATTTAACAAGTTCTCCATATGGCCATTGGTTTTCAACCCTTCTTACCAGATTTCATGGATGAATTCGGCTTACATGGAGAATCACATGTCAGATTCACTCAAGGGGATAAGACGATAAGATCCAAAGAGGAATTTTGTCGTGATAGAGCAGAACTGGAGGATTTTAGTCTCTTGAGAAGCAACCAAGCATCGGATTCTGGACAGCCCTCATTCATTTCAATGGCAACCGGAACAGGAGAGGCATCATTGATCTCAACAAGCATATTCCCCTGCAAGGAAGATTTACAATGGGATCGTGAATAAAGATTCAAATTACATCATTGAAACATCGTCATGGTTCAAAGCTGCTGACGATGATCAACAGTTTACCTCAAAATTTACCAGAAATTTTTCAAACTGTTTAAATGTTCTTTTCATATCACTGACACGCTTGGCGTCTTCTGAAGTAAGAGCACTTCTGACATCATCAGGAGAATGACCAATCGCATTCTGTACAACCTGAGGAGAGAAAACAATCTGTCGATGCATAGCTTCTTAGAAAAGTCATAAGTCGATGAATGTAGTTTCACTCACATTGTGATCTATAAGGATTTCAGAGATAAGACTGCCATCATCAATGTAAACGCTGAGCTCGTATGTAGCCCTTTCTTTGTATTGAAATGCCTTTACACCAGCCACAATGCACTATATAATTAGCAACAAGAAGTCAGCTTGTACATTAACGATGAAGGGTTAAACTACTATAACATGATTCACAACTACATAAAATAAAGTGAAAACAGTAATCTAAACATTAGTCAGATAGCAATACAAATTTCTAATTGTTAATCAGTTGTATTTCGACAATAAAAAGTTAAGAGCAACTCTATACTAACAACTAAAATCATGCAATGGCATACAACAAATGCACATGCTTACATGAAGTCGGTAAGCAAATAGGATTACCTAAACATTGCTCACATTCACCCAAATTAAAACAGCTGAAAATTCCATGTTACTAGTACAATAACTGGCAAGCTTAAAGTAAGAGATTAAGTCTATGTTGTAAAAAAATGAATCGTACTGCACAAGAGTAAAGATCTCAAGATCATTATCAAATAAATTTATATTACAAACCATTAGTGGTAGAATGCATTTAATGTTTATACCTTTATTTTTCCTCGAACAGGGGAGGCTTTGACCTCCATTGCTACCCACTTAGCTGATAAACTAGCCATGTAAGTAAAAGGGATTTCATTATCCCCGGAAAGTATGAATGGGTGATTGAACTCGTTCACCACAGAAATTTCCTCAACATCCGTAGCTAAAGAAGATGATGTATTATCAGCATCATCTCTAGGGAGTGGAATGGTGAAGTTTTCTCTGGTAATATCATTGGCAGGGATACCTGGTACAGTTTTTTTGTAGAAAATGAATGCCAGTAAACTAAGAAAAATTGAACAAATAATCTAGGAAAATACGTGAATTTGTCTCAGTTCGTACGAGTCTATACTGAACTAATATACCGTGCTTCAGTGACTCCAAAGGAGTCATGTTTTCCATAGCAGGACTATAAATATGCCCAGGAACAGAGACACGGTCTGGTGGCTGCACTGCAGACTGTATATAAGGCTCAGCACTGCTCCTACTCACTGGAACTGCGAAGCTTTGTGTTGCTGTGCCACTTGCAGCGGTGCGAAATGCAGTTCCTGCAGATGATGAGCTAGTCTCTGCATTATTCCTACCTGCTGAAACTGCAAAGTCTATTCTTTGATTGTCAGTGGCAGAAATGCCAGGCTCAGCACTGTTCCTACTCACTGGAACTGCAAACCTTTGTGTCAACCTGCCAAATACAGTTCCTGCAGACGATGAGCTAGTCTCATTATTGTTCCTACTTGCTGAAACTGCAGAAGCTTGTCTTTGACTGTCATTGGCAGAAATGCCAGATGTAAATCCTGCAGGGTATGCATAAAAGCAACTTATAAAGACTTTAGCAAATAAGAGGATAAATATGTAATCATACATACAAGTCTATTTTGAACGACATACCTTGCCTGTTTGCCTGTAAAGGTGTTGTGCTTTCCATTGCAGGTCCATCAATAGGCCCTAAAACATTGACACTTGGTGGTGGCCAAGCCGCAGAAGTTGCTCTAGTTGCTAAAGGAGGAACCACCCCAGCCCTGGTTCTAACATATATATCAAGGGTTATCTCAATCACTGATATCTGGATATTAATACTGCAATTAAACCTTTCTAGTTGCAAACTCATAAACGCCTTCACATGAGGTAAGGTTTAATATCTGAAAACCACCTCATTAACATATAAAAGTATTGGTTTGAGAGAGAAGGAAAGATAACTTTGTTAAATTGGCAATGTGGCACAACTATTAAAAAGATTCTGACAAATGACAATTGTTACTCTGTAAGATATAACCGTCCACTTTTATCAGAAAGAAGGAAATGTAAAATCTAAAATTTCAGAAATAGATCAAGGGCCATGAAAAGATCGATGAAAATTAATTCTGAACAAATTGGACAGAATTTTAAATTAGTCACACCCAAGTATGTTAACAAAGATTCCATGACATTTGATGTAAACTATGCAAAATATTCTCCCTTAATACATATTAGTTTCTTTTGCTCATTTTTTCAAAGAGGGGGGGAGGGCTTAAATTTCTCCCTTAATACATATTAGTTTCTTTTGCTCATTTATTCAAGGGAAGAGAGAGAGAGAGACTTAATGGTGAAAAAAATTGATCATTTATCTACACTAACAAATACACTAAATCAAATTAGTAATATTAGAAGGAAAATGCTTGTTGTACATTACTATTACCTAATCTTTACATATTGATAATGTGTCAGAAAGAAAGTGGGGGAATTATTTGGTTCGTGAGATTTTGACCCAATCAAATCTAACCACATCATCTGTTGGTAAACGAATCCGTAAGTGGTGATCTATATGTAGCACAACCGATTTTAGAATAATTAACCAGAGTAGTTTTTTTCATTTTTGAAGGAAATGGTGAGAGTGATCAAATACTTTGAGCAGTTACATTATATGCCATCTTACAACATTGCTCACATTCACCCAAATTAAAACAGCTGAAAATTCCATGTTACTAGTACAATAACTGGCAAGCTTAAAGTAAGAGATTAAGTCTATGTTGTAAAAAAATGAATCGTACTGCACAAGAGTAAAGATCTCAAGATCATTATCAAATAAATTTATATTACAAACCATTAGTGGTAGAATGCATTTAATGTTTATACCTTTATTTTTCCTCGAACAGGGGAGGCTTTGACCTCCATTGCTACCCACTTAGCTGATAAACTAGCCATGTAAGTAAAAGGGATTTCATTATCCCCGGAAAGTATGAATGGGTGATTGAACTCGTTCACCACAGAAATTTCCTCAACATCCGTAGCTAAAGAAGATGATGTATTATCAGCATCATCTCTAGGGAGTGGAATGGTGAAGTTTTCTCTGGTAATATCATTGGCAGGGATACCTGGTACAGTTTTTTTGTAGAAAATGAATGCCAGTAAACTAAGAAAAATTGAACAAATAATCTAGGAAAATACGTGAATTTGTCTCAGTTCGTACGAGTCTATACTGAACTAATATACCGTGCTTCAGTGACTCCAAAGGAGTCATGTTTTCCATAGCAGGACTATAAATATGCCCAGGAACAGAGACACGGTCTGGTGGCTGCACTGCAGACTGTATATAAGGCTCAGCACTGCTCCTACTCACTGGAACTGCGAAGCTTTGTGTTGCTGTGCCGCTTGCAGCGGTGCCAAATGCAGTTCCTGCAGATGATGAGCTAGTCTCTGCATTATTCCTACTTGCTGAAACTGCAAAGTCTATTCTTTGATTGTCAGTGGCAGAAATGCCAGGCTCAGCACTGTTCCTACTCACTGGAACTGCAAACCTTTGTGTCAACCTGCCAAATACAGTTCCTGCAGACGATGAGCTAGTCTCATTATTGTTCCTACTTGCTGAAATTGCAGAAGCTTGTCTTTGACTGTCATTGGCAGAAATGCCAGATGTAAATCCTGCAGGGTATGCATAAAAGCAACTTATAAAGACTTCAGCAAATAAGAGGATAAATATGTAATCATACATACAAGTCTATTTTGAATGGCATACCTTGCCTGTTTGCCTGTAAAGGCGTTGTGCTTTCCCTTGCAGGTCCATCAATAGGCCCTAGAACATTGACACTTGGTGGTGGCCAAGCTGCAGAAGTTGCTCTAGTTGCTAAAGGAGGAACCACCCCAGCCCTAGTTCTAACATATATATTAAGGGTTATCTCAATCACTGATATCTGGATATTAATACTGCAATTAAAACTTTCTAGTTGCAAACTAATAAACGCCTTCACATGAGGTAAGGTTTAATATCTGAAAACCACCTCATTAACGTATAAAAGTATTGGTTTGAGAGAGAAAGAAAGATAACTTTGTTAAATTGGAAATGTGGAACAACTATTAAAAAGATTCTGACAAACAACATTGACAAATAACAACTGTTACTCTGTAAGATATAACAGTCCACTTTTATCAGAAAGAAGGAAATGTAAAATCTAAAATTTCAGAAATAGATCAAGGGCCATGAAAAGATCGATGAAAATTAATTCTGAACAAATTGGACAGAATTTCAAATTCCTCACACCCAAGTATGTAAACAAAGATTCCACGACATTAGATGTAAACTATGCAAAATATGGGTATCAAGGAGGGCTTAAATTTCTCCCTTAATACATATTAGTTTCTTTTGCTCATTTATTCAAGGGAAGAGAGAGAGAGAGACTTAATGGTGAAAAAAATTGAACATCATTTATCTACACTAACAAATACACTAAATCTAATTAGTAATATTAAGAGGAAAATGCTTGTTGTACATCATTATTACCTAATCTTTTATAGATTGATAACATGTTAGAAAGAAAGTGGGGGAATTATTTGGTTCATGAGATTTTGACCCAATCAAATCTAACCACATCATCTGTTGGTAAACGAATCCGTAAGTGGTGATCTACATGTAGCACAACCGATTTTAGAATAATTAACCAGAGTACTTTTTTTCATTTTCGAAGGAAACGGTGAGAATGATCAAATACTTTGAGCAGTTACATTATATGCCATCTTAGTTACCTTTTTCCCCTTGGTGGCTTATTGACTTCTTTAACAAGCCTCTGTCGCGCTGCATCCAACTCCTCAACCATGCCTCCCAGAATGTTGAGAACTTCAGGGACTAACATTAATAGCCCATGCCTTACATTAACATTACAAATAGCTACCTGAATTAATTAGCCAAATTTTGAGTCAGATACATCTTTTCAACATCTAGAACTTCCTGTTGAGAAATCAGGAACCAGGAATCAGCCAGACGTAAAAAAGAAGCAAAAATAGCAAACAAACCTTCAGTCCAGCAGGGGCCAGAACTTCAAGATCTTTAATGGGCCTATATTCCATGCCAAACACACGCTGGACACCATCAGTCATGGACAATTTGAGACACCTCTTCATTCCAGGCGCAGAATTCTGGTACCTTCCACGAAGAGGGCTGCTGATATTCACTATCTCATCCACCTTTGAAACCACCATCTCATATGAAATTAGCAATAAAATTCTTGTTATCTAAGAAAAGCAGAATACCGCACGACAATCTCTTTTAGACACATGCAAGCAATTACAGGCAATTGTATTGTTTGAACTCAAATCCTAAGCCGTTAAGTAGAACAATAAATGACAAAATAATACAAACATTAAACTAATGCAACATATACATAAGATCTTGATCAAAGATGTTTCTTTTCCCAATAAAAGAACTAATTTTACAGCTCCAAACTGTTAAAATAATAATAATAATAATAACAACAACAACAACAACAACAACTACAACAACAACACACACAATCAAAACGTCCATCTTGGCTTGTAGAGACTACAAATCTTTACAATGATATTTATTTTCCAGTAAGAAGTTCTATATCCTTATATTCAAGCGACCATAATTTAACCATATACAACATGTTCAAAACATGAAAGATTGCAAAATGGCTCCTATTCTACCTGCAAGACAAAAGGTCCCTTGAGATCAACCAAATGCAAGGTGTGCACATCTGGTGGAAGTACCCCAGCTCCACAATAATTCATATCCGAATACAAGAACTGCTCAAAACAAAGCTTCGCTTTTACTGTATCAACAAACCGCAAAAACCCCGGAACCGATGCCTCGAGAGCTCCCAAACAAGAATCCAACCACTCCCCTTTCAATCTCAGCCCTAGCCCTTGTAAAAACCCATTTACCGGAGAATCCGAAACCGCAAAAAAATTATTACTACTGGTACTAAAATTCGAATTGAAATTACCATTATTATTAACATAATTAGTAGTATTTGGTTCGTCGTCGGAGACATCGAGAGGTATGGGTTCAGAGGGTGGATAACGAGTACTCGTTGTGGACATATTACTGTTTGGGGAAGGATTTGATGAATTAAGGGTTACAGTTTGGAGCTCCACTTCTATGTCGTCAATGAAGTAGTCGCCAGGATATTCCAATGGCTGTTCTTGCGGCGGTGGCGGCGGGGGCTCTTCTTCTTCGTCAGAAGAGCAGACTGCCGCCTTCTCGACATTTTACTGTGTTTCGCTGTAAGCGAGCTCTCGTTTTTCCCTCCACTTTTTCCCCAAATTTTCTGTTTTTGAATTTTATATGTGGGAATGAGGTTTCAATTTTCACTTAGGCCCTCTTTGGGAGTTATTTTTTCACCAAAAAAATTGATTTTTTGACTGTTATTTCACTATTTCTATCGTCATATTTGACTTTTTCTCTCATATGTGAACTCCACTTTTCTCCTAACGGTCAAAAAATCAATTCTTAAAATCACTTCCAAACAGGCTCTTAACTTAAGTCCATATTTTTTATTGTTCACTGAAATTTAAAATGTCGAATTTTGGTTATTGAATTAATGTTCATGTCTTTGATTGCTCACCGAATTTAGATCCATGTTTTCGATTGTTCATTAAAATTTAAAATATCGAGTTTTGATCACTAAATTTTGGAATATACAATACGTTACTCACTAGCATAACTGTTGAACTTTCAAAAATATCGGGTTAACAGTAAGTAATGTATAGCATTTTTCAAAATTCAGTGAATAATGTACAATATTTTTTAAAGTTCGATGGCCAAAACTTTACATTTTAAATTTCAATGAGCAATCGAAAACATAGAGCTAAGTGCTATAATTAAAACTAGATATTTTAAACTTCAGTAACCAATTAAAATATGGATCTAAGTTCAATGGCCACTGGAACAATTAACTCGAATGAGTGAACTGAACATTGGGCCAATAGTTGGATTGGGCCAAATTTAGTCTATAGACATGACCCAGCAGCCGTTTCACGTGTTCTCTTCAATCCGGTGGCCAGGTTTTTTCAAAGTGAGAACCGTTTAGCATGGCTTTTGAAAAATCAAAATGAGCTTTTTGATATTCAAAAATTGCTTTTAAACCCGTTTGGCTACTTTTATGAAAGTGCTTTTAATTAGAAGAGTTTTTAGAAAACCTTGATTCTAATTTTAAAAAAAAAAAAACTTTTTTATAAGAAACAAAAGTAAACGTAAAAGTCATGTCAAATAAACTAGAATTAGTTTGTGTGTCTTCACAGAAAAATTTCAGAATACTCACACGGGGTCATGTGAATAAAATATTGTCAAAAAAAAAAAATTTCTCATCAACCCCCCCCCC